GATTACAGCAGAGGTCTGGCAAACCTGGAACTAACATTCTCTGGAGCCTTTTTTCCTTTATAACATATATTATGACAGTTTAATATGTTAAACATTCATGTTAGATAATATATTCATAAATGAAACATATATTGACTATTTGCATGGTTATGTTTTGTTTATATTCTTAAAAAAATAATACAAAAATTTCCTGAAAAGGCCTACTCTTTTCCAAACTTATTCCCAAATTAATTAACTCACTTGAAAGTACATGTCCAAAATTCTTAGAGTTTTAGAGTGTTTTCTAATTCTTTAAGTTTTTTAATGACTGCTGTGATACAGAGTATTGTGTATGTATTCCCTTCTCACATTACAATAAAACCATTAACCTATTCATTCTTGAAATACTTGAAAGCTTCACAATAACATTAAGTGTATTTCAGGCAAAATCATTTCATAATAAGGTCTTTTCAATGCTTTAGTAATTAAATATGCTTCATCCTATAACATACTGTGGTCTACAGTGAATTGTACAGTAACTCTAAAGTGCACTGTATTTTCAATGCAAACTCATAGTGAAAAATGGAAAAAAAAAAATCCAGTGATACTATATATAAGGGGAAAATTAATTTAAAAACAGTGCCAAAAATCCTAATTTAAATCAAATTGGTTATGTTGCTATTTCTTGAATAAGATCAGCATGAAGAATAAGCTAAGATAGTAAAAGTTTAAAAGAGTTACTTACTACATTATATATCATATTTAACCTGCCAGCCACTCCTGGGAAGGAAGGTTGGGCAATCTACTTCTGTAGTGATACTGCCTCAGAAGCCCAAAAAGGGGTTGCTATGAGTCGGGTCCGATTCGATGGCACATAACAACAACAATAACAATATAAGAGGAACCATGGTCTAGTGTTCAGGGCACAGGCCTGAGAATCAATCCATATGAAAAACTCAATTTCAAGATACCATTAATGGTATACTTTCTGTGCCTACATTTTCTTACCTAAAATAAGAATAAGAATATCGACCTATTTCTATTAGAACATTATTTCTGACCATCTGATGAATTAAAATTATTTTGAAACAATTAAGCAACAGCAAACAGCTAAACAACCAGAAGTGTGGCAGTTCAAACCCACCAGCCACTCCTCGGAAGGAAGACTGGTCAATCTACTTCCATAGTGATTTTATATAT